AATCTGAATGGGGAAGATCTGCATCTTTGAGGTTCCGATTTTTTTTCTAGTTTTTTTAACATTTGTTTATTTTTGAGACAGAGAGAGCATGAGCAGGGAAGGAACAGAGAGACAGGGAGACACAGAATCCAAAGCAGGCTCCAGGCTCTGAGCTGTGAGCACAGAGCCCGTCGTGGGGCTCAAACCTACAAACTGTGAGATCATGGCCCTAGCCAAAGTCTGATGCTCAACCAACTGAGCCACCCAGGCGCCCCATGAGGTTCTGATATTTATCATGCCCGGAAGTCAGTCCTCTGAGTGAAGATTAACCGCTAGGAAATCTAACCTTGAGAAATACTTGACTATTCTTGTCTTGGGAAGTAGCCGGGACTCCATGAACATGATGTCTGAAAGTTCCCTGGGGAACCCAGTCCTTCTCGGTGCGGCCCATCCCCTGCCCCAAGGGGGCCTCTCTCCCCCAGCCCCTCACCTCCACCTGCTCCTGCCACGCCCTGTGCCAGGTCTGGCCGTTGGGCGAAACCCCCAGTGACCCCCAGCCAGTGGCCCCCCCTTGACATGGCTCCTGCCTGCAAAGCACAGCTCCCCATGGGGGGTGACGGCAAACGGGTCGGGGAGCAGTTCATGCTCTGGCTGGAAATGGCCACAGAAACAGAAGGGGACAGAGCAGGCAGGGTGTCTCCCAGAGGCAGGACAACAGGAGGTCGGCCGGCCTAGTAAGAGGTGCAAAGGGACAATTAGCCTCACGTTTCCCCGGAACACATACAAAGGCCACAAGGCCCAAAGGAAGAACCACCCATAACCCTGTGCCTGCATTCATTTCTATGGCTGCTGTAACAAATGATCACAAACGCAACGGCTTAAAACACTGTAAATTTATTATCTGATTGTCCTGGAGGCCCAAAGTCTGTCCCCGATGGCACTTTATGGGCTGATTGCACTTCATGCGCTGCGTTTTCTCTCGTTCTGGAGTCCCCGCCTTTCCTGGCCTCCAGAGGCAACGCATCCCCAGCCCCCAGCCCCCACAAGCTGCTGGCCTGTCCTCCACCCTCACAGCCAATGGTGCAGGGTCGCCCACATCTCTGCCTCCGGCTCCCCTGCCTCCATCTTACAAAGACCCTTGTGTTGACACCGGGGCCCCAGATAATCCAGTGACGTCTCCCACCTCGGGGGGCCTTCAGGTGATCCCATCTGCAAAGTCCCTCTCACCACGTGGGGGCGCCCCCACCAGGCTCCCACGAGTAGGCGGTGGGCACGGGGAAGCACTATTCAGGCCACGTCAGGCGCCTTGTGAAAAGCCCATCATGCAAAGAAAGAAGAAACATCCCCGCGTCCTTCCAACCTGGACGCTGCTGCCGCGCGGCACAGCTCCAGGAGCCCAACACATCTGCCTACGTTCACCAGGACAGAAGCACAGTTTCTAGAACATTGGAAACGGGCTGGGCTATCAACCGAGGTCGGCAAGCCCTGTTCTCCCCTGAACCTAAACAGACGTGGACAGTGGCCATGGCCACAGGGCAGGAAGAGCCCTAAGCTGCAGGAATCCATGGGGACAGCCAGAGGTGGGGGCCACGCAAGTGGAAGTGGTTTCTGGATGTGACACCCCCTCCTCCCCGCCAACAACCCTGGCCCGCAAGTTCACGTTGGCGCTAGCTGATGCGGGAAGGGCAGGGACTGTCCAGAGAGAAGCCCTCGCCCACGCCGGGGGGATGGGAAGTGGCCCGGCCACTGTGGAATGCAGTCTGGCCGTAACTCAAAAGGTGAAGCAAGGGCTGGGACCACGTGACCCAGCAACTCCAGGCCCCGTGTCCACCCAAGAAAAACAAAACCTATGTCCACACAGAAACCTGTACGTGAACATTCACAGCAGCATCGTTTCATAATACACCCAAAGTGGAAAGAACCAAAACGCCCACCGACTGATGAGCGGCTACACATGGTGTGTCCGCCACACAGGGAATGGGATCAACTGTGAGCAGGGGCGAGGCGCCCATCCTGTAGACGGACCCTGAACACACGACGTGTCCACCGTGCACACGCATGGCCGCAGATGAACAAGTCCACCGTGCAGGCGCACGTCCCTCAGGTGCGACCACCGCGCACATGCACATCCCTCAGCCGCGAGGAGCGCGGCGCCCATACCTGCTGCCCCGCCGACGGACCCTGAACACATTATATGTCCACCGCGCACACGCACGCCCGAGGTGTGTCCACCGCGCACGCGCACGTCCCTCGGCCGCGAGCAGGAACGAGGCGCCCACCCCCGCCGCCCCGCGAATGGACCCAGAACACACGACACTCAGGGAGGGAACCAGACACGGGAGGCCACACATGTGTGAGTCCACGTGCGTGACACGTCCAGAACAGGCTCCTCCACGGGCAGGAAGGGGGTTGTGGGGGCCGGGGCTGGGGGAGGGGAAGTGACTGCTTACTGTACAGGTTTATAGTACAGGATGGGTTTCTTTCTGAGGAAATAAAATGTCCTAGAATCAGATGGTTGCATGGCTCTCCAGGTAGACTAAAAATCCCTGGATTGGGGCTCCTGGACGGCTCAGTCGCTTAAGTGTCCGACTTGCACACAGGTCATGATCTCACGTCTCATGGGTTCAAGCCCAGCGACTGGCTCTGTGCTGACAGCTTGGATTCTGAGCCTCCCCCTCTCTCTGCCGCTCTCCCGCTTGTGTTCTCTCTCAAAAATAAATATTTAAAAATCTATAATAAAATTAAAGAATTGAAATAAAAATCAGTGTATTGTACGCTTCTAAAGGGTGAGTATTGTGGTATGTAAATTCTGTCTCCCCAAGGATGGATTTTTAGAGTCCAAGGCAGCCTGCTGGGGACAGCCAGACCACAGGTCTGCTTTGTCTCAAGGACTCTAATCCCCCTCAACGCCCCAGACCTTTTGGAAGAAGGAGCCACGAGTCTCGTTCATGCCTCCCCCTCTACCAGAGAACCTTCTTAGTCGTGGCTCTCAGTTTTGTCAGCTATAAAATGGGCTGATGAAAGGAGACGGCAGGTCAGGACGACTGCATGAGGGACCACTAATGGTTAACCTAACCGCACGGGGCAAGCTACGCACACAGAACCTGTCACACTGAGCTGGGTACAGAGAGAAGGCCACGTCTTAGAGAGCTGGCGTCCTCCAACAAAACACAAGCTTTAAGGGTAAAAGCAATGCCTTCCGAGACATGGAGCAGACCGTTTCCAAACCTGTCCAGCAGGGCCTGGTCCGTCCAGCCCCCAGCAAGCAACCAACTAACCTAGACCAAGGGCGACATGCCTTTTCTGTACAGGATCACACAGCAAACATTCTCACCTCAGCAGGTCACACGGTCTCTGTCAGGAGGAAGCGGACTGAGGCTGTATGTCCCTGCACGCTGTGTGCCAATAAAACTTTACTCACAAAAACAGGCCACGGGCCAGACAGGTCCACAGCCCAGTTAGCTGACCCCACACCCAGATGCCTGACATCTACCCTTTAAGAAACCAAACCTTTTCTTCACCTCTCCTACAGGGGCACCTGAGTTCCACTACTCATCCTGAATCGTGACAGAGCACAAAAGGCCATGTTCTAGCCCATGCTCGGCCCAATTAACCACGTGGCCTTGGAGATCAACACTGAACATGAGGTAGCTTTTCTTGGGGCACCAGGAACAGCCAACGTGGGATGGCCGGGGAGCACACGGGGCTGTCCTCCCCCACCGCCGGTCACCACCCCCCAGCTGGTCACCCCCACTCTGTAGATGTGAGCCGGGAGGTGACTGGGTTATTCGATCTCTTCTTATGAGCTATCGCCATGGCCCGCCATCTGAGGCCACCTCTTTAAAACCCTCTGTTGCCAGTTAATTACAAAAGTACAGGAGGAAGCAGAAGGCGTGGAGTAAACACTCAGGGCAGCTGGGCAATGTGGTTCTTTTAAAGGTATTTTATCGTATTATTTTTTAATGTTTATTTTTGAGAGAGCGTGAGCACAAGCATAGGATGGTCAGAGAGAGAGGGAGACACGGAATCTGAAGCAGCTCCAGGCTCTGAGCTGTGAGCACAGTGCTTGACATGGGGCCTGAACTCACGAACCGCAAGATCATGACCTGAGCTGAAGTCAGACGTTTACGTGACAGAGCCACGCAGGTATAAAATAGCCCAAAAGGTATTTTAAAGGGGCACCTGGTGGCTCCATCATTAGGCATCTGACTTTTGATTTTGACGCAGCTCATGATCTCACGGTTCACGTGATCGAGCCCCATGTACAGAGTCTGCTAGGGATACTCTCTCTCCCCCTCTGTCTCTGCCCCCCCCCCACCTCGCACAAGCAGGTAAGTGTGCACTGTCTCTCAAAATAAACATTTTTTCTAAAAATGGTATTTTAAGGGGCACCTGGGTGGCTCAGACACCCAACTCTAGTTCAGCTCAGGGCACAGCCTTGCAGTTGAGTTTGAGCCCCATGTTGGGCTCTATGCTGATGGCACAGAGCCTGCTTGGGACTCCCCCCCCGCCCTCTCTCTCTCACCTACCCCCTGCTCCTCTCTCCCTCTCTCTGAAAAATAAATGAACTTAAAAAAAAAAGAAGAAGAAGGTATTCTAAAATAATTCTCCATTTTCAGAGATCCCCCACCGCTTCTCCGGTGTGACTGGTCACCATTTCCGGTAGGCCATGGCTTGGGGCGAACGTGCCCCTCGAGGAGCCCAGGGGAGGTGTCCCCCCTGACCCACATGATGCCAGCGGGGCACCTCACCCTGGGTGACCCCGTGTCCCTCGAAATGCACCATGGCACTCGGATCAAGGGCGAGAGCGCAAACCCGGGCACCCAGACTAGAGAAGAAACAGCCACCAGAACCAACATGAAGCTTCTGGACTCCTCTGTGCGAAGGCTCGTGGGCCCTGGTCTCTCCTGGACTCAGGACCAAACAGCAGCTGCCTTCTCCCCCCAGCGTGTAGGCTTGAGGGGTGGCCTTCGGTGCCTGCTCTCCTGGGGCCACCTGGGCCCAGGAGCCCGAGCACTTACTTCAAAGTCCCGGTCGTTCTGGATAGCAGAGGCCACAAGGACAGGTGCCCAGTAGCTGGCAGGGGGTTCTGTCAGGTCCCGGCAACGCTGATGGCTCCTATGATGCACAAAATAAAAGCGTGATTCACTAAATGGGTGGCATCGCTTAAATCTCAATTCCAGATTCTACTCCCAACAGCTGTGCGTGGTCCAAGGCTACGCCCCTTTGTTCAGACATTTCTTTTTAAAAAAAGTTTTTAATGTTTTATTTATTTTTGAGAGAGAGAGAAAGAGACAGTGTGAGCAGGGGAGGGTCAGAGAGAGAGGGAGACACAGAATCTGAAGCAGCTCCAGGCTCCGAGCTGTCAGCACAGAGCCCGACGCGGGACTTGAACCCACAAACCATGAGATCATGACCTGAGCTGAAGTCAGACGCTTAACCGACTGAGCCACCCAGGCGCCCCTGTTCAGACACTTCCGAATCCTTGCCAATTTGCAAGAAGACTAAATCATAGCTACCAGCACTTTCCCCACCAGAGTCTCCCAACGGCTGCCCGTCTTAGGCTCAGCCCCTAAAAATCAGTAGCTGGGGAAGTGAGAGGCTCTATGAAACAATCAAATTAAACCAAAGAAGGTTCTGGAAACCTTAGGGTTTATAAGAAGTTCTGCATCCTCCAAAGCCCAATGGCCAGAAAGGCACCCCTCCAGGGAGGAAAGTCATGGGGTCAACACGTCTTTTCAGTGACACGAATGACACCCTCAGCAGGCAGAGAGCACAGCAGCGGCTGTTCAGAGCCAAGACCCCACGGAGGGCAGGGTCGTAGGCAGCGAGTGCACCGCTGTGCAGGGAGACACCCCTACACGTGTTGCATGGACGCAGGACAAGACTTCCAACCTTCCATGTAGCCCCAGGACCTTGGACAATGCAGGCTGTCACCATCCCTGGACGCTCCCCCCAGCCCACGCCCACCTCTCCAGACACCCGAGCTCCTGACTGCACAAGATCTACTGGACTCCCCCACCCCCACCCCTGCCTCTGTGCCTGCATGTGTCCATCCAGGACCTGAGTGTCCCCTCCGGCCTGGCCCCCTGCGCGAGGGCAGCTGGGCCCTGGGGAGCGGGACTACGTTCACTGCAGTCCCGCCCACTTTCTTCAAAGGGCACAAGCTTCACCAACACCCTCACGACATGCAACGCACACTGGTGGTTTCTCTGATTTTTGTGTGGTTTTTAAAACTCCTGGGCACGACCCCATGAAACAGACCACACCGTCTTTTCACAGGTCAGGCCCACAGGTTGAAAGACAAGGTCAAGCTGTGGGACTGCCGGAGCTCGGGCTGTGCCCATCTTCTTTGGGCGGAGGCCTCTCCAGCCTGCGTGGCTGACGCCTTCCCCGCTCCACAGCCCTGCCTGCAGACCTGCCTGCGGCAAAGGCTCAGGTCTAAGGGTCCGACCGTTCTGGAACCCCGCCCTGGAGCGGTGGCCGGCAGAGCGACAGCCTCCCGATGTCCACGCCCTCATCACCACAACCTGAGGCCACAGCAGAGGGGACTCCATGGGTTAAGGACCTTTATGAGACGATGATGCTGGATCGTCCCGTGTCATCACAGGACGGGTCAGAGAAGGTGACCACAAAGGCAGAGGTCACGCTGTCACAGAGGGAAGGTGGAAGGGGGCGCCTCTCGAAGCTGCACAGGCAAAGACGGGACTCCCGCCTGAGCCTCTGGAAGGAGCCAGTCCCGCCTACACCTCGACGGCAGCCTGGAGAGACCCGTGCTGGGGTCCCGGCCTCCAGAGCTGAGGTCATCAGAGTGGTTTTCAGTCACTAAGCGGCGGTCCGTGACGGCGGCACAGGAGACTCATGCGGCAGCTTCCGTGTGCATTTCCCAGCTCTCCGGGGCGTTGAGAGATCTCTTCGCTTCCAGTGACCGAGCCGCGAGCTGCCGGCCTCTGGCTTTTGCTCCTGCATCGAGGGGATCACATGTCTCCCCCGGCGCTTGTAACTGTCCCTGCACAGGCTGTTCCCATGCTGGGCATGGGCCACCCCCAGCAGCACGTGGGCTGACAGGCAGGGGGACCACCCAGGGCCTCTGGCTCTCAACTTGGCAGACCCACCGCTGCCAGGTCACCGACACCACGGATCCTACTGTCCCTGTGCCCCACGGGGACAAGAGCGCCAATCCCTGAGCTGGGAGGCTGGGGTCAGGCCTGCGGCCCAAAGAGCAGCCGCCACCCACCCTGACCCGTGTCCGCAGTGGACAAGGGGCCGGGACCACCCACCTCCACTGCTCCATCAGGGGCCGCGGGCCTCCCACAGCCGGCCAGCAGCCACCCTGGAGGTCCCAGCGTGCCAGGGCCTGGCCTCAGGGCCCTGAAGTGTGGGTAGGCCCAGTGACAGCCTCCCAGAAAGGACAGCATGGAACCCGGGAGGGGCGTGAGCTTACGGTGGAGACACCGGACAGCCCACCTCAGCCAGGGGACCAGGACCAACATCCGCGGTGACAGGCCACGGTGGCAGCCCGCACCCCTGGGGTGCTGTCAGGAGGAGGGCACCTCACCCTGGGGTCTTCCTCCCCAAAACCATCACCCCAGTCTCACGATGAGAAAAGCACCCAACGCACCCAAGGAAGGGCCTTCTAGAAAAGCCCTGTCTGGCCTCCTCGAAACTGTCAAGGGGCCTGGAGCTGAACAAGTGTGGACTCTGCTTACTGAGAATGTATCAACATTGGTTCATTAACTGCTACAAATGTTCCAGCCTAACGGGAGGTCCCAGTGGGGAAATGGGGGTGGGGTGGGGGGGAACACTCCCAGTCTCTCTGTAAATGTGAAATGCTTTAAAAAACAGTAATAAAGTCTAAGTAATTTTTTAAAAGGGAAACAAATCAGAAAGGCCCCTGCCAAGCAGGCTGGGTTTGATGCTCCCCGCTGCCCAGGCTGGCCCAGCCCAGCCACTGACCTCCCTGTGGGTCCCGGGGAATCTGGGGCACTAAGAATAGAACCCAGGAGGGGAGTCCGGTTGCAACAAGGTAGGAGCCCGCAGTAGCGACCTGAGACGTCAGACGCGACATCCCTAAAAGGCACAGTCTGACCGTCGGAAGAGCTTGTTACTCTGACCCGCCGACCACGGGCGCAGACACTAAAGCAGCAGGCGGAGTGGTTTACGCAGCTACCCCCTCCTCAAAGGGCAGGCAGGGGGGGCCCAGAGGCAGCAAAAGCAGGAAATGGGAAAAGCCAGTGGCACCTAAAGGCTCAGGGGTTAGGAACTGCCACCACCTGGTGGCATCTCTGGGGAACCCCCCCCCCCGGGCTTGGCTTCCCCAGGGTGGGGAAGGTGCCCCTACGTCCCCTGGTCCTACCAGCCATCAGCTGCTCCGGGGCTGACCCTCGGGGAAGGTTCGGAGGGCTGGCCCACGCCACACTGCCTACTCGTGCCCTGGAGCTGGGCCCGGGCTTCGAGGGGCAGAGGGCTGGCTGGGCAGCCTCTAGGCCAGACGGGGAGGGAGCCCTCACCTGCTCACTCAGCTGGCTACCTGACCAGGAGAGCTGAACGCCCAACTCTGCCTGCTCGTCCTCGGCCACAAGCCCCAGGTGGCCCTCAAAAGGGGCTATACGTGCCCCTCATAAAGCAGGGAGGTCCCCCAAAGCGTCAAGAGGGTCCACCGGCCTGAGCACACTATCATCAGATCAGCACGAACTCCTATGTTTCTGAAAAACATATATATCCACACAGATGGACACGGAAATAAACACAGACACGCACGCAGGCACGCATGGGATGGGATTCACATCTCCGAGCTCTGTCTATGACAGGAGAGGCCCCGTCAGCCCCTGGCACTGCACGCACCCAGCTCACCGTTTCTGAATCTCCTTCTCCAACGTGGAGAAGTGTTCCCTTGCAGGGCTGCAGCCGGAAATACACAAGGTGAGCGGAGCACCGGGCAGGAAGGCAGCCCTCCCCAGGGGGTGTGGTCATGAAGGAAGGACACAGGACCCCAGACAAGGAGCAGCCCAATGGCCAAAGCCAAGGGCAACTGGGGCAACAAACTAGTTCCAGTGCTGAACTATAATGCACAGGATGGAATAACGACCCCCCCAGTCCTCACTGGCGCAAAATTTAAAACATACCGTAAGTGAGGAGGAAGGGACTGCCCTCTTCCACAAAAGAATTCCAGTTCACAGATGGAGAAGCAATAAGACTCATACAAGGTCAGCGCATGAGAGTCATAGTACAAGCCGCCGCCCCCAGCAGGGAAGGGCCACACGCAGGTGCTGCAAAGGACAGGCACCAGTTTGAGGGGAAACAAGGTGTTTGCACAATCGCAAAGTCCCGAAGGGACAAACAGCAACTTTCTGGCGCAGACTCCGGGGCAGCACGGCCGTGGCCACAGGATGGAGGCTGACGTCACCGGCAAGGAGATGCAGCAGCAGGCTGCCCAGGGAACTCAGCCCATCCCCGAGCTGCGTGACCTGCGTCCGAAGCCCGGAAAACACTGGGCACGAAGGCAAGTTGAGGAATGTACAGTGAGGTCCCCGGCCAGCGCTCTGCAAAAGCACCGAGGTCACAACATCCGGAACGACCAAGAGTCCCAGCCCAGAGGAGACGGAGGGCAATGGCTGAATGCAGTGCAGGGTCCCGGAGAGGGCTCTGGGGCAGACAGGGGACATGCATGTGGCAGCTGGGGGATCCAGGTGAAGGCTGCAGTTCGGTACGTACTATTCCTCTGTGCTGCCTGCTTCATTTGGGTAATTCTGCAGTTGTGTTCCATGCTGGTGGCGGAAATGTACCTGGAGAACTCTCCGTACTGCCTTTGTAACATTTCAATCGGGCTAAAATTATTTCAAAATAAAAACTCAAAAAAAAAAAAAAGAAAGAAGGAAAGCAAGCAAGCAAGCCAATCTTCCCCTCTGTCCTCTGAAGCTCGCTGCACAGCAGGTTTTAGCTGCAGGAGGAGAGCGGCTATAAAAAAGGTCCATACCGATAAGCAAAGAAAAAGCAAGCTGATACCACACGGCAGTCTGGTTTCAGGACCCGCTGAAGACCCAGCCTGCTGAACACAAGTTTCAGACCCTTCGTGTTTGAAAGATACAGAGGAGTGACCCATGTCGCCAATCTTTCCA